TCGTTCCACATATCGCATGACGCGAGAGATACAGAAATCTATATCTGCAAAATGGCATTAGATATATACAGTACAGTTAGCAATTCTATAGTAAAAGATAATAAAATATAAAGCAGGGAAAGAAAAGCTAGATAAATATGGTTCCAAAGAAAATCGTGAGGAGGTAAACCGAAGTGCCGAGGCGGACTATGAGAGCAAGAGAGCAGCGGGACGACGAGGCCTACTAGATAACTGGGGCCGTGAGTGCAGAAAACTATTGGTGGAGCGAGGTATGTACAGAATATAAGTGAAACAGGCTAATTTTCAATAATTAACATATAAAATAGACATTGATTTTATATTTCAGTACGAAATAATATTTGAACTCGCTTGTCTAGTGTAGACTGCAACTGACGAGAGAACGTCTTTAGCAGCCGTAAAGAAGTCGCAAGAACTCAGGTTCACAAATTTGACCTTTGTGCTAAATGCTGTTTCAGTTGCCGTCGGACACTGCTTAAATGATATTTAAACTAAAGGTCCTTTGGCGTAAATGCCCGTTTAGGTGCGCGTCTGACAGGGGCATTACATAGCCGGCACGGAGGCCCTTCGCGGTCAGATTGTATGCGCAGCGAGATAGAAAATACAAACAAAAAATCTTTAATGATTCCTTCCCCCCCCCCCTCCCTTTTTCCGGCACAATAGAAAGCACAAAAAAGATATATCTCTTTCGAGATTTCAAATTCCTTCGCCACGTCTCACAGCCTAATATTTTGATAGATAGGGCTGCTCGTTAAAATCCCCAATCAAGCGCTTTGGGCAAAGTAGGTTCACTGTCAGCTCTCATGGTTACGGTGCTTCTTTAGTTTTTTGTTGTAATAAAATATTCAAATTTTCTACCATGCATAAAAAGATAGTTAAAAAAAGGCAAGCATCAGTACCGAGCTTTTTTTGATGCATTCTAATGAAAAAAATGTTCAAGTTGTTTGATTTTACTTAGAACATGTAAACCTGAGGTGAGAGTTACACGGGCGCCATCTTCGCCTCCTATATTTCAGGCTCTTATGACGGGATAACCATAACGGCAAGCCGAATAAATCATTAGCTTGTTCAGTAAATTTTTATTTAACACATTTATCGGTTTAGAAGCAAGTGCAATATTGAAAAAATTAATATCATAGGCCAGAACAATTTAAATAATTTGCGAAGAAGGTATTAGCTTTTTTATATATATTTGTCGTTTAATTTTCGCGTTTCTTTTGACATATTTCTATATTGTGGCCATAAAGACATCCGGAGTCCGGCCAACAATGACGTTTAGAAGACGACGATGTCCTTTCAGCCACGTTGCCGCTACACTGGCAATGCGCCGTCGGCTGATCCACAAACGACGCGCTGCCGAAACAGTGAATCGTAACACCATCCCAAATGTTTATAGAAATCCTGTAAAACATTTGAGTTGCAGAATTTCAGTTCTCCTGGTGCAATTTTTCGTTTTATTGCAAAAACATTAGGCGAACGCCGGCCGGAAGCATCACCCTAAAAAACTTAATAAATATAAGCAATTCACAACATTAAAAGCTATAGTAAAACTAAAGGTGAATCTTGACCTTTTACTTAGTCTTCCTCAGAGCGTGAAAGCGGAGTTAACTGCAGCTGTTGAGAACTAACGTATTTCATCAATATTAAAAATTCTTCTACAAAAAGAGTGATAAGAAAACTTGGACTCAGACGAGGTCTTTTGAAGACAAAGTGAATTTTCTTCAGTAAATACGCTTTGGGATTGTACCAGCCGAAAAGGTGGGTTCATGTTTTGTACGATGTTCGTGCTGAAAACGTAGCAGAGGTGTAGCAGAGAGGCCTGAGCCAAGCTGGGCTTTGAGTGGAGCCGAATGCACGAAGGAGAACCAGACAGGCCTTCCTTCATGTACGTCACAAAAAGGTGCCTACCACACGCTATTAAGTATACAGGAGGTCGAACTAGGGAAGCAGTCTTTCATCAAAATAAGCTTTAGACACTTTCCACGATCCCGGGTGTTGCTTCGGGTCTCGTGAAATGACGAGTTGGCAAGTTCTTGCCCACAGGTACCACGACAAATGCCAAAAAACAGCACCAAGAATACAAGAACACACGAGATAGGCTTATTTTCATTCACAATTTCTGCCTTGTGTAGAAAAGCGACGCACCCTTGTGGTGATAACTTGCAACTGGCAATTATCAGTATAGAGGAGGCTATGCTCCATGACGGCTATCATGGCAACTACACTCTTAAAAAAAGGGAGTGCAAAGGGAGTCGCTGCCTCCATGACTCCCATTGACACTTCACGACTCTCTTAGAGAGGCAACGATTCGTGTGACTCTGTCTTGACTCTTCCCCTTCTCAATGGGAGTCACAGGTCAGCAGCATTTGCCCTACCGAAAAAAAACGGTTTGAATACTGCTTCGCAGCGTCCAGCCGGCAACCCAAGCCCCGCCGTTTCCCTATGCACTTCTAGAAAGGGAGGTAAACAAGAGTCACGGAAGCACGGCTAATGCATCTAAGCAAACCCTGCAAGCAGTCCCAGTAGCGACTGGGGACTTTGTCTCCCCAGACAAGCCACGGACCCGGGACGTTCCAGACATCGCTCAGCAGACCACCGACAACCATCATCGCAAGATCCTGCTGAAGAGAAGGTGAGCTCCATGGAAACAGAGCTGCCTACCAACGATATCTGTTCTGTGTCGGCCGCGGCTCTGGTATCAATTCCAGAACTAAACCTTCCACACACCTATGCCGAGGCACTACGCAGTGAACCTAGGCTACCTACAGGAGTCGGCACCCAGACCCATCTACAGCGAGAGGCACATCCCCCATCCCAGTCCCCGAGTCCAGACTGACAAAGGCAGATGCATCGGTACTCTATCAACTCCAGACGGGGAGGGCGTTTACGGGACTAGCACTTCATCGCTACGGCTGAGCCGGCAGAGTTGACAGCCCGGAGTGCACAGCGTGTGGGGACCCCGAGGACATCAACCATATTCGCGACTCCAGCGAACTATAGAGGGCGCCCTGCTCAGGCAAAATGGCGGACGAAAGGAGGTCGTTTTCGTCGTTCAGAACGCGGACAACCACAAATTCCTGCACTGCAGCGTAAAATCAGTGCTACATTTGAAAGCAAAGCGATTTCTCGACGGTAGAAACCTTCTTCTAGTCAGTGCGTAGGAATGACAGGGCGTAATCACAAAAATAATTCCTGGAAACAATGTTTGTTTGTATGCTGCCTGCGAGAACCAAGCAGCGATAGCAGACGACAGAATCAAAACTACCTCCTCTCCTGAGCTTCTCAGCGCTGCCGCCACGCGGCGTCGATTTCGCTGGAGTTGCGAACACTCCTCATCTGCCCCGAATACAACGCAGCAAGGAAAGTGCTCTTCGCCACTGTCCTAAGATCAGGAGGACAAACGGCTACAACCGCGTGTCTCCTTTTCCCCGCTGGTAGCCGGCAGCAAGCATGGAACATTTTCTGTGCCGTGCTAGAGTTTCTCCACCAGAGAGAGCTTGACGAGCATCTGTGACCCCTGCATGTCTTCTCCTCACACTCCCATCGCGCCAGTCACCCACTCCCCACACCCTTTCCCCCCTCTCCCCTCGCAACCTTTAAATCTGCCTGGAACTTTGAACTTGTGATTCCTCTTCCTATCCCACTTTTAATCCCTCATCCCTTTGTTCATGCGAGTCTTTTCCCCTATTAGGGTGAATAATAGTATGCATGGACATTTATCCCCTTTTCCCGTATCTCAACACCCCCCCTTCACCCCCCCCCCCCTCCCCCCTGTGTTCTGTGTCTTAACCTTAGACTCCTAAAACGTTTGTGGCATCCCCACATAAAAGGAAGATGTTATAATTTGTGTGGTTCCACCACTATGCAGATCGTTCCGCAAAGGTAGTGCACAGTAGAGGTTATGTTATGTACATCTTTGCATTTTTCAGGTAATTTAAACACTTTTTCTTTAATGGTTTCAAATATAAAGTTTCCGAGACACGGGAGGCAGCTTCCACGAGTGGGCGTCTCGAAAAACGGATATGGTTGGCCTTGAAAAAGGCCGTTTGAAAAGGCTTCGCCAGTACTGTCCGAATGGTTGTCTGTGAATGATAAGTAACATTACCATCATAGAGGACGTGCTACACAAGGCTTGCAGAACAATGTACAGCAACGGGGCTGCTACTGTCCAGCAGTCTTTGTGTATCACATCCTCTACGCTAATATTGTTGCAAACCTTCCCCAGTCACCCTATCGGACAGGTCCGGCACCGGAAGAATGGGGTCGCTGGTGGGCAGTCGATGGCTTGCTTGCTGCAGGAAGAGAAGAGAGGGTGTGAGATGTCACTCAAAAGCTAATGTCTACCTTTATAGGCAGGGTTCCATGTCTTCAGAGTTTAGTAGTTTGTGCAAAATTCAGGTCTTGGCTTATTTAGCTTTTGATCTGTCCCTAAGAATAGATCCATGATTTGTCCTTAGTATAAACTAGCGAAATAATTACCCATTTTGTTCTTAGCCTGAGACTGAGGCAGGAAAACAGAAAAGTTTCAAAGTAGAAGAAGAAGGAACAGTCGAAGACACGTCTCTATTCACGACTGTTCCTTCTTCTACTTTGAAACTTTTCTGTTTTCCTGCCTCAGTCTCAGGCTAATAACAAAATGGTTAAGTTCCACCAGCTCGCCTGCGCACTCACTACAATATCATTGAAATAATTACCCTGTTCTTTAACCGGTCGATATTTTAAAAGGGAAGCGAGAGATCTCTTCTTGGGAAGTCAGAGCATGTATTCTGAATAGTCTTACGATGAAAAATGTCACCGAGCGGTTTTCTTTTTTGGCCATATGTAACTTTCACAGTCAGAGTTTATTGAAGAAATACAATCTGACGGGTCTTTACTGGACGGCGCTTGGGCTTTCGCCTTCATGTCACCTTAGGGATAACAAAAGGGACCCTGTTTTTTTTTTTTTTTTGGAGCTAAATGCAGTTTGGCACAGCTTACCATGCTTATCGGTGGTGGATGATATTCAGGCACGACCACAACTTGTGGCCTCTTGCCCTGCAGTGGCTGCACGAATGGATTCGTGGCACCTCCAGGCGGCGTCTGGAACAAACCCACTGTGCTCCGAGTGCCCTCTTGATCTGAAGCTTGATGAGCTCGCTCATCTTCCGGACTCCCAGGATACGATGGACGTGGTAGCCATCCACCGCGAAGTATTCCCTCCTTGGGGCCTTTTCTCGGTTGAGGAAGAAGGGCTGCACGAAAGAAACATGAACAATTATCCAATTATAAATATTCAAAGTTGATAAGGTGTTAAACCCTTATCTATCAGGTATGTATAATCCTATCTGAAACGGAACAAACATACAACAGCTAATTCCCCACTTGTATCGTGTACAGCTCAGGTTCTCAAAAAATTACGGGCCAGCAATTGGCCGCTCGCAGAACTAACGAGCACTCTCATCTGGGGATGCTGTGAGCCTCCCAAAGTTTGAGCTTGACGGGTATAAACATTTTCAAAGCTTGCTGAAGTTCGAATTTGCAAAGTTTGTAATTTATTAACTCTGCCTTTACGGCACCTTACTACTATGGTGCCGAAAGAACTGCCGTATGCATCCTCCGGTGTCACTGTTTTACCACATGCATGTTAGTGCCACAAAGGAAGCGACTAGATGGCATCTCCAACAAACTGTCTCTACTACGTATCCCATTAGGACTTGCCCTAATGGTATAGCACATTTGCTATACCATTAGTTCGGCAGGGCAATAGGAGACATCACTCCTCTCCGGTAGCCTGGAAAGAGGTTACCATTTAGGAGTGAACAATAGTGACTGCTGCCACATTTCTTTTACATCGTAAGCTTGGTATGTATGCGTCCATGCACATGAACAGGAAAGCGGACTGCCCACACACGCCGTACACAATACCTGTCCTCATTATCGAGGGGCAGTCAACAACTTTAGATGAGTAATGCGGATTCTTGGGCGAGTTGGTACTGAAACTTGGAGAACATAATAGCGCTTCACGACAGGGACGAAGGGTAGGAACGAGACAACACAATGCGCTAACTTCAACTGGTTTAATCGTCAGAAAATCAAAGGTATAAATACTCTGCATCATCGCGCCATTCAACCAATCCCAAGCCACGCCACTGATCGCAAGAACTGTATCTCTTTATCTGCCAAATCGATCGACGCCACGCTGACACATCGATCCCCGTAGTTTCTCATCAGGTCCGCCTCTATAATTTCCCTTACCGTCTTATCTCTATGTTTTCTAATGACAGTGCACAAATTAAATTCAGGTTTGCACCCACAGTCATGGCAGTGCATCGACAAATGACCGTCACGCTGTCCGCTCACTTTTAGGTTGTGCTCGCGCAATCTGTCATTTAGACATCTTCCCGTCTGTCCAACGTACTTTTTACCGCACGTCAGCGGGATCTCATAAACGACGCCTTCTGCGCAATGTACAAATGGGCTGCGATGCTTCTTCACGCAGCCAACCGGTGGTTTGCGGTAAGGGTCCGTCATTTTGCACAACTTGGCAAGTTTTTCGGGTGCAGAAAAAAACCCCCGAGCGTTTAGGCGGTTTGCTATCCTTTTGAGATTGTGTGCCGTTTTGTGCATGTAAGGCACAACCGCCACTCTTTGTTTCTTTTGGGCCACATCCTGGTCTGGACTCGCTACTACTCGTAGCTTCTTTAAAACCTTTTCTGCTACCGACACCAGGAGCGTTCCCGGGAAACCGGCAGCCACCAAGCGTTCTGACTGCTCCTTCAGACCTGAAGGCATCGCATGATGACACGACCTTCTGATGGCGTTCACAAAGCACACATTTACAATTCCTCTCTTGACAAGTTTTGAATGGGATGAATTAAAAGGCAACAGGGGCTTATTTGCTCTTGGTTGGTATTTCCAACAGACATGTTGCTCCGAAAGTGTGAGCCTGATATCTAAAAACTGTATGACGTTGTCCATAGGTACCTCGTGCGTAAGCTTGAGAGGATCTAGGACGGTACTAAAAACTGTTAAAAGGCTGTTCACCACCGAGGGAAAGTGAGAAACGTGATGGGGAAGAAAAACTAAATAATCGTCGACGAATCTAAAAACCTTACTACCATTAAAGTCATTCAGGCGTTCCGAGAGAACTCTGTCATGATGGGCTAAAAATATATCGCTTAAAACTGGAGCTAAACACGAGCCAATACACACCCCTCGCTTCTGAATATACACTCCGAATATACACTCCGCTGTTCCACTCAACAAAGGTCGAGTTTAGATAAAATGTAAGCAATTCGAGAAAGTCATCTACAGTCATTCCTGCTGCGTTCTGAAAGGCCACCACCCCGTGTTTATCGATGCTTTCGTCTACGCAGGTCAGTAGTTTGTCGTGCGGTAGGGAATAGTATAAATCCTTTATGTCAAGTGAGCAGGCTAGAAAGCCTTTGTCCGCGTTTGTCTTTAAAAAATCTACGACTTCATCCGAGCTTTTGACTAAAAACGGGTCGTCAATACAAATGGCTCCCAGTTTATCTTGCAGAAAGAGTGCTATCGATTTCTGCCATGTGCCTCTCTCCGAAACTATCACTCTTAACGGACAATCAACTTTGTGCGTCGTAGCGCTGAACATCATCTGTAGGCACTCGCTTTTGGTCTTGTCAATACTCTGTGACAACCTGTCTAATTTTAACCTCTGGCACAATTTTTTCCCCTCCGCCTTTAGCTTAGTTAAAGACACCTTTTGACGCTGCTTGAACACTGACGAAATAGCCTCAAGGGCCTTACTCCCGAATTCGGCTTCTGTTAAGACCACAAACCCTCCTTCCTTGTCGGCGGGAATGATAGACAATCGACGCTCTTTCAATAGCGACACCACACGCTTAACCGGAATATGGGGCTTCGCGGGTTTGTTATTGTTCCTAGACAACACGTCCACTCCCTCCGAAATACAACGTTCAACTTCGCCGTCTGGTGCGCACCTGGCGACTTGGCGGACCAGGCCCAAGAGTTCCGGAGCGTTCATGTTCGGCTCAACCGCAAACTTTGGTCCTAGAGCAAGAACTCGTCGTACATTTTCTGGAAGCTGCACGTCACTCACTGATCTGATGTCACACTTGGCCACAGGACGTCGCTTGGGTAGGGTGGAACGTAGACGATGCAATGATTGCTGCCAGAGGAACTCTGTGGTCCTATCCACGATGCCAAAGAAGTCCCTGATACGTCTGTTGTCCTGCAGGGGCTTGCTGGTGTCTCGAAGAACTGCACACAATAGGCTTCTGTACAGACGTGCTTGTCGCTGCCATTCCGATCGTAGGATCTTCAGTATTCTTGTACCGTGTCCTGCTGACGGCTCGAAGTTTCCAAAAAGCTGTTTTACTTCTGCCGGCAAGTGTCTGCAGCGGATGCAGAACGATAACGTGCGAGCCTGGCAGGTGGCATTGGTGATGAGCGAAGCGATGACGCAAGGATCCAATGAAGAACATATAAAAGGGCCCGATGTACTAGAACTGAAGTTGAGTAATGCGGATTCTTGGGCGAGTTGGTACTGAAACTTGGAGAACATAATAGCGCTTCACGACAGGGACGAAGGGTAGGAACGAGACAACACAATGCGCTAACTTCAACTGGTTTAATCGTCAGAAAATCAAAGGTATAAATACTCTGCATCATCGCGCCATTCAACCAATCCCAAGCCACGCCACTGATCGCAAGAACTGTATCTCTTTATCTGCCAAATCGATCGACGCCACGCTGACACATCGATCCCCGTAGTTTCTTATCAGGTCCGCCTCTATAATTTCCCTTACCGTCTTATCTCTATGTTTTCTAATGACAGTGCACAAATTAAATTCAGGTTTGCACCCACAGTCATGGCAGTGCATCGACAAATGACCGTCACGCTGTCCGCTCACTTTTAGGTTGTGCTCGCGCAATCTGTCATTTAGACATCTTCCCGTCTGTCCAACGTACTTTTTACCGCACGTCAGCGGGATCTCATAAACGACGCCTTCTGCGCAATCTACAAATGGGCTGCGATGCTTCTTCACGCAGCCAACCGGTGGTTTGCGGTAAGGGTCCGTCATTTTGCACAACTTGGCAAGTTTTTCGGGTGCAGAAACTTAATTTGTGCACTGTCATTAGAAAACATAGAGATAAGACGGTAAGGGAAATTATAGAGGCGGACCTGATAAGAAACTACGGGGATCGATGTGTCAGCGTGGCGTCGATCGATTTGGCAGATAAAGAGATACAGTTCTTGCGATCAGTGGCGTGGCTTGGGATTGGTTGAATGGCGCGATGATGCAGAGTATTTATACCTTTGATTTTCTGACGATTAAACCAGTTGAAGTTAGCGCATTGTGTTGTCTCGTTCCTACCCTTCGTCCCTGTCGTGAAGCGCTATTATGTTCTCCAAGTTTCAGTACCAACTCGCCCAAGAATCCGCATTACTCAACTTCATTTCTAGTACATCGGGCCCTTTTATATGTTCTTCATTGGATCCTTGCGTCATCGCTTCGCTCATCACCAATGCCACCTGCCAGGCTCGCACGTTATCGTTCTGCATCCGCTGCAGACACTTGCCGGCAGAAGTAAAACAGCTTTTTGGAAACTTCGAAGCCTATTGTGTGCAGTTCTTCGAGACACCAGCAAGCCCCTGCAGGACAACAGACGTATCAGGGACTTCTTTGGCATCGTGGATAGGACCACAGAGTTCCTCTGGCAGCAATCATTGCATCGTCTACGTGCCACCCTACCCAAGCGACGTCCAGTGGCCAAGTGTGACATCAGATCAGTGAGTGACGTGCAGCTTCCAGAAAATGTACGACGAGTTCTTGCTCTAGGACCAAAGTTTGCGGTTGAGCCGAACATGAACGCTCCGGAACTCTTGGGCCTGGTCCGCCAAGTCGCCAGGTGCGCACCAGACGGCGAAGTTGAACGTTGTATCTCGGAGGGAGTGGACCTGTTGTCTAGGAACAATAACAAACCCGCGAAGCCCCATATTCCGGTTAAGCGTGTGGTGTCGCTATTGAAAGAGCGTCGATTGTCTATCATTCCCGCCGACAAGGAAGGAGGGTTTGTGGTCTTAACAGAAGCCGAATTCGGGAGTAAGGCCCTTGAGGCTATTTCGTCAGTGTTCAAGCAGCGTCAAAAGGTGTCTTTAACTAAGCTAAAGGCGGAGGGGAAAAAATTGTGCCAGAGGTTAAAATTAGACAGGTTGTCACAGAGTATTGACAAGACCAAAAGCGAGTGCCTACAGATGATGTTCAGCGCTACGACGCACAAAGTTGATTGTCCGTTAAGAGTGATAGTTTCGGAGAGAGGCACATGGCAGAAATCGATAGCACTCTTTCTGCAAGATAAACTGGGAGCCATTTGTATTGACGACCCGTTTTTAGTCAAAAGCTCGGATGAAGTCGTAGATTTTTTAAAGACAAACGCGGACAAAGGCTTTCTAGCCTGCTCACTTGACATAAAGGATTTATACTATTCCCTACCGCGCGACAAACTACTGACCTGCGTAGAGGAAAGCATCGATAAACACGGGGTGGTGGCCTTTCAGAACGCAGCAGGAATGACTGTAGATGACTTTCTCGAATTGCTTACATTTTATCTAAACTCGACCTTTGTTCAGTGGAACAGCGGAGTGTATATTCAGAAGCGAGGGGTGTGTATTGGCTCGTGTTTAGCTCCAGTTTTAAGCGATATATTTTTAGCCCATCATGACAGAGTTCTCTCGGAACGCCTGAATGACTTTAATGGTAGTAAGGTTTTTAGATTCGTCGACGATTATTTAGTTTTTCTTCCCCATGACGTTTCTCACTTTCCCTCGGTGGTGAACAGCCTTTTAACAGTTTTTAGTACCGTCCTAGATCCTCTCAAGCTTACGCACGAGGTACCTATGGACAACGTCATACAGTTTTTAGATACCAGGCTCACACTTTCGGAGCAACATGTGTGTTGGAAATACCAACCAAGAGCAAATAAGCCCCTGTTGCCTTTTAATTCATTCCATTCAAAACTTGTCAAGAGAGGAATTGTAAATTTGTGCTTTGTGAACGCCATCAGAAGGTCGTGTCATCATGCGATGCCTTCAGGTCTGAAGGAGCAGTCAGAACGCTTGGTGGCTGCCGGTTTCCCGGGAACGCTCCTGGTGTCGGTAGCAGAAAAGGTTTTAAAGAAGCTACGAGCAGTAGCGAGTCCAGACCAGGATGTGGCCCAAAAGAAACAAAGAGTGGCGGTTGTGCCTTACATGCACAAAACGGCACACAATCTCAAAAGGATAGCAAACCGCCTAAACGCTCGGGTGGTTTTTTCTGCACACGAAAAACTTGCCAAGTTGTGCAAAATGACGGACCCTTACCGCAAACCACCGGTTGGCTGCGTGAAGAAGCATCGCAGCCCATTTGTAGATTGCGCAGAAGGCGTCGTTTATGAGATCCCGCTGACGTGCGGTAAAAAGTACGTTGGACAGACGGGAAGATGTCTAAATGACAGATTGCGCGAGCACAACCTAAAAGTGAGCGGACAGCGTGACGGTCATTTGTCGATGCACTGCCATGACTGTGGGTGCAAACCTGAATTTAATTTGTGCACTGTCATTAGAAAACATAGAGATAAGACGGTAAGGAAAATTATAGAGGCGGACCTGATAAGAAACTACGGGGATCGATGTGTCAGCGTGGCGTCGATCGATTTGGCAGATAAAGAGATACAGTTCTTGCGATCAGTGGCGTGGCTTGGGATTGGTTGAATGGCGCGATGATGCAGAGTATTTATACCTTTGATTTTCTGACGATTAAACCAGTTGAAGTTAGCGCATTGTGTTGTCTCGTTCCTACCCTTCGTCCCTGTCGTGAAGCGCTATTATGTTCTCCAACTTTAGATGGTTGGGGGTTTCTGCGGGGCGACGAGCGCTGGCGCAGCTCGACTAGTGTTAATAGTTTTTGCACCGGCAGAAACTTGAGAAATTCTAATGACACCCCGATGTGCTTCACGGATGGAAAATTTAAAACTGTGTTGCCACTCTTCAGACAGCTATACACAAATCACGGTAATTCTTCGTGGCCATGTGTTCTTTTTGTTTATTGCCTCGTGACTCGACGAACCCAGACGGCGTGCGATGCGCTCTTCGAAGTACTGAACTTCGCCGCAGATCTTGCACCTGCACTAAATCTGAAAACCATGAGTACAGATTTCAAATTTTCAGCAATCAAACTGTATTCGGTTCTTGCTCCCGTCGTAGGATGTGCGCAGTTCCTGTTCCACTTGTACCAATCAGTATGAATAATGCATCACCTAAACTGGTAAAGCTTTACAAAAATTCTGTAGGTGACGTTGCCATAAAGGTGAGGCAGCTTGCAGCCCTTTCTTTCTTGCCCACCAAAGCAGATAGGAAGCTCTTTCCACAAGAAGCTTCCTCTCTGCTGTGACGGTGGGAGGACAACTACCGGTTAGGAAAATCACGGAGCCGTGCTGGCCATGCTCTGATTAGAAGTAATCTGTGACACTGTTCCAGATTTTCTTTTTATCCTTCATAGACGCCATGTTATAAATAGGGACACAATGGTTCTCCCTGCTTCGTCATTTTTACTTTTCAGCTCGGCATTCCTATATCAGGGATACCATAATTTCCCCACCCACCGCATACGATAGTTAAACCATGGGTGACGCCTGACATAGGATAATTTCAGCATTCCAATGATTTTGAATTTTTGGCGTTTCGAATGCTTCCTGTCAATGTAGCTCACACTCTTGCACATACTTGCATCCACTTCCTTGAATGGAAATCGATCCCTATGAATAGGCCCATTGATGTAACACAAAACGTTACACTTCATAACAAGAATAATACGTATTTAGACTGCAGACACCACAGAAAGGCGAATGGCCCCTACCCAATGCTACTGCATTTCGGATAAAATGCACAACTTACATCCGGGTTGATAAGGACAACGTCCGCCATCCGCCGCACGTTTTTCGCCAGCAGGCGGTTCAGCAGGAGTCGACGACCCTCGGCCTCCCGGTCCACCCAGCACCTAGGCAGCACCTTGAACACCAGAATGGTGCCCGCAATGCTGCGCAGGTGCTCCACAAGCTCCTATAAATGAGTGAACAAGTTGTAGTGTCCGAATTTCGTGGTGTGGGACCACAGACACGAATATAAGGTGAAAAACAATCAACGTACCAGGATGTCCTTCACGATCATGTCCGGTGGCTGGCGGTTGGACAGGTCGTTGCCCCCAACGTACACAACCGCAAACTTCACTGGCCTCAGCCGCCACAGCTGCACTTGCCGGAGCGAGGACGCTGCGGTGGCCCCCCCGACACTAAACGTACACGTACGCACGCTACATGCGAACTACAGGCGGCGTACGCTCAGCCACTTCAACTGGCTGTCGCCCAGCAAGACTCCGTCCATGTTAGAAGAAAACAAGGACAAAGACGAATGAACGCACAACCGTTAGAACCTAGTGTCACTAGTGAAACGAGTGCAACCGGTGCAACCGACGACGAAAAAGAAGGAATGGATTGGATCTGATTTCGGCAAATAGACGGATCGCCCCTGGATCCGGAAGGATGGGTGGATAAATAAAATTGGCTACGCCCTTTGCAACGAATGGTAGCTTGCGCCACCTAGCCTCAAAAAATGCATTCCTCCTTCACTTCAGGCATTTCAGGCATGCTTTGGGGCTTTGGGGCCTTTGGAGGCTTTGGATTCAACGTTGTCAATTCATGCCTGACCTTAACCCAATAACAGCGACATTAAAAGTAACATGGAACGGTTTTGACTAAGCGTGCGAATGTTTTCTTAAAAAAAAAAAAACTTAAACCCAATAAATTAAAGGCGTCAAAAAAAAAAACACAGACATTTAGATGTTTTTTGGCGTAAAAAAACAACAAAAAACACTTGCCTCGATCAAAGTTTAAGAGTAAAGACACTAATTTTTCTGTGAACTTGGAGCAGGTGCAGTGAAGCTTTATTTACGCCATTGAGAGAAAAACGTCCATTTCGGACACTGGGCCATGTAATTGAGCTAAGCAAGGTATAAAAGGGAGGCGAGAAGAATTTCTCGCATTTGGTTTAAGCTGGAATGCAAATTGCCAACGTACTTATTCCCACTCGACCAACCCACACACACTCCAGCTTGACCACAGGGAGACAGTCAGACTTTTGCAAGTGCATAACGAACAGAGTTACAGTCCAAGCAAAAACCAAGTCTCCTGATATCATGTTTGTCTCGAACCAGTATCGTAGGCTCCGACCCATAAAGCCGTAATAACAAACACGTATTATAATTTGCCTAAAACCTGGCCCTACGCTGGGCATCTTCATCACTTCACGAAACTAGATATGAACCACTTTAATTCCCTTCTACACCTCGTTCCTTTGGGGCATCACATTCAAGACACTTGGCAAGATTTAATGCACGCCATTGAAGGCATGCATGGTTATTTCCACGGTCCCAAAACTGCACATTTCCGTACATAGTTGGAACTCTCGAAACTGCTGTGGATATGCCTGGCATCACTTTCACGAGAAGAAATGTCCAAATTAATTGTGGAACCTCTATACTTTTGGAGTTCAATTCCATATTGAACGGAGCAGAACGTAAGCTACACCAGCACAGGTTTGTGAGCAGGCTGCAGTCTTTCTATACTTTGTCTCATCTGAACATGGACCAACGCAAACGCGAGGTCCTGGAGTTGGACGGCGGTTCAGCTGCACAAGCGCTCGAGCAGCAAGGCCATCCTGTCAAAGCTATCCGCTCGTGCTTGGAACCTTTACGCTTATTTCATGTTAGGGGGAGATGAGGTATAGCCTCAAAGAAATGCTGCCACTTCCATCACTATATGCACCCAAAAGCAGACAAAGTAAGCAAACCAGAAAGTAACAGTGAAAATGGCTTTATTCCGTGCTGGTCTTGGGGGGGCCCACGAAGATTTGTTCCGCGCACGGGGATCATGACGACCTCACGGCAAGACCTGTAGTGGAACCTGCAGGCCTGTTGGTTCGCGGGTGCAAGCACCAAGTCTATCAAAATGGACTTCCGGTGCATTTGTTTTGCGGCAAACATTTCTCGCACTGCTAACTTTTAGTCGGCAATAAATTTTCGGCCACCAAGTATGCCAATGAAGCTCGATAAAGATGAATCTCCATTTTGATAAACAACTCCTATCCACCAACCGGGAGACGCGCTCTCTAGCAGTCAGGTTCTGCCGAGAGCCCCAGGCCCGTACCTGCAAAATACACACAAAAAAAACAACAAAGAAAAGCCAACATTAGACACACAATACGAAACTAAGCAGTCGACAGAGTGCAAAGTCCTTGATGAAACCCGGCAAGTGTAACCCAAGCTGACTAAACCCATGCTGCTACCAAGAAACGGTTACAGTTGAAGGCAACATGAGCGCATGCATTAAAAAGGAAAAAAAAATATCTGAAACTGTCGACACGACACTCACAATGTCTTTACAAAGGTGTAGAACTACCATCATACCTAACTCACCTGCAAGCACCCTCAGAACCACAACCAAGACATGCAGTTAGAAAAGCAAGCATGCAATGTGGCTCAAGACAGCTGTGATCAAGGAAGACCCCTAACGCTTTCCAGCAACGAGCCAAACCAAGAAGCACAGTGCCTCGGCCACATTGAAAATGAAGACAAAGAAAGAAACTGTCGACACGACACTCGAAAAAAAGGAAGCTGACAATGTGTTTAGACACAGGCAGAATGAACATCATACCTAACTCACTTGCAAGCACCCTCAGACCCACAACCAAGACATGCAGTTAGAAAAGCAAGCATGCAATGTGGCTCAAGACAGCTGTGATCAAGGAAGACCCCTAACGCTTTCCAGCAACGAGCCAAACCAAGAAGCACAGTGCTTCGGCCACATTGAAAATGAAGACAAAGAAAGAAACTGTCGACACGACACTCAAAAGAAAGGAAGCTGACAATGTGTTTAGACACGGGCAGAATGAATATCATACCTAACTCACTTGCAAGCACCCTCAGACCCACAACCAAGACATGCAGTTAGAAAAGCAAGCATGCAATGTGGCTCAAGACAGCTGTGATCAAGGAAGACCCCTAACACTTTCCAGCAACGAGCCAAACCAAGAAGCACAGTGCCTCGGCCACATTGAAAATGAAGGCAAAGAAAGAAACTGTCGACACGACACTCGAAAAAAAGGAAGCTGACAATGTGTTTAGACACGGGCAGAATGAACATCAAACCTAACTTACTTGCAAGCACCATCACATCCCACAACTAAGACAAGCGTTTAGAAAAGCAAGCAAGCCATCTGGCTCAGAACAGCTGTGATCAGGGAAGGCCCCTAACGCTTTACAGCAACGAGCCAAACCAAGAAACACAGTGCCCCGGTCAGCTGTTGTTATGCAGTGAAAGCAGGTAAAAAATTAAAGAAAACAGCAATTAGTAAAAAGGTAGCCATGATGGCAAGGCACACGGATGAGGCAGTTTAATGAGCGGGAGTTTGATAGCAGTTACAAATGAAGACACTAATGGAAAGAATGCAGAGAGTTTGAGGAAGACCATGCCCCACCCTCCAAGAGAGCACACGACACCTGTTATCTTTATGTCCCATACACGTTGGCAAGTCTGGTCTCAGGGCGTCGCTATCTTGCTCAGAGGGGGTGGGCTTAGGCACGGCCATAACCTAATTATGATGCCTTAGCAAGGCTTCGTAATGAGATTATGACGCGTCCAAGCGCACCCCAGCCGAGCAAGATGGCAGCTCCCTAAAGCTGGACTTGCAAATGTGTATACTCCGTGCAAACACAATTCGGAGCGCAGCCGACGCCACGAGCAGGCGCAGCCAATCCGGCGCCGAGACCATATCACGTGACCTGCCATTCATAGCACACATCCACGTGACATGACTGCAGCGTGGCACCTTAGCATCGGCAGCACTCTGACTTACGGTGCACTTTGGAATGTACCTGCACCCGCTACGCTCACTCATTAATGATGTCATAAGTCCCCGGCTCTAACATAAGGTCTTCATGAGTTGATTCCCACTCCTCCCTCCGCCTGTCCTCCATCTCCCTTTCCTGGTCCTCCCTTTCCCGCCTCTCCATCTCGGCCTCAAACAGTTTCTCCACATCTTGCCTCTCTCTGTCCTCCCTTTCCCTGTCCTCCTCCTGCTTCCGTTCCTGTACTACTTCATCATGCGCTAGGTCCGTGATCTGACGGACGAAATGCAGGCGCCTGTCAACACCCATTTGTTGCATGTAAAAACGAATGTGTGCCAGGGACTGCGCTATCTCGTCCGTGTGCTCTGGAGGGCAGTCTGAAAACCTCAGGTTAGCCGCTGCTGCTCTGAGGACCTGCTCCACTGGTGTGGTTCCACCGTCCATGGACCTCTTCCGCTTTACTGGCCGAACACCAGCAGGCCGAGGCACAAGTCGGGGTGCAGCAGGGGGCTCGGCCACTTCCTCTACATCCGCAGGGGTTGGGCTTCGTGGACGTGCACTCGAAGCTCCACGCTGTGCAGCCAAGAAAGCAGCAGAGACCTGGAAGGGTGATGGTGGCTCCTGGAAATGCATTTGCCACTGTCAATATAAGCCAAACAGTCTAGATCAGGGCTCAGCAACCCTTTCAGGCAGCTGACCAAGGAGACGCGAAGTGAATGTGGGGTTGGGCCAGACAGGGAACAAGTTTGTGTGTGTGTCTGTGGCGGAATGCTAACACATGCTTAAAATTATCTGCAATAATGAAGAAAAGGTTATTTAGGCCTAAATGCTTTAGCACCGCACTGATTTCTGAAATCTAGCCAACAGAACACTTGAGCCCCTCTCAATACACATTTTGGTTTTCAATATTGCTTGCCAAGATGCAAACATGCAAGTTGAATGTACTAGCAAATTATTATTTTGAAATTCCCCGACTTTTTCAGGTTTTCCCTGATAATTTCAGCTGACATTCCCTGACCACTGTAGAGGCGGTTAAATATAGAAGACCATTACAACACAAGGCATTGAACACTGTGAGGATCATTTTGCACGGGCTTAATCCAACTTGCATATTCCAAAATATTCGGGTTCGTCCAGTCTGGATTAAACGAGCTCTTTCTTGCCGCCGACATCGTCAGTGAAGAGGCCACTTCCGAAAACATCCGTTTACACAGCTAGCATTAGTGTACTCCTTAGATTTGAAAATCGCAACATAGGAAGCCAATGT